TAATAACCTCTCTCTCTTTCTCTCCATAAATCATCCTGTCAAGTTGCTTTGGTGAAGACAACCCAAAAGTACCATATACAACCGAGTCAAATACATACCTAATATAGTTACGAGCTTAGACACTAATCCAACAGGATGTTCATAATCGCTTACATGAAAATGGTCCTATAGATGACCACTATGTAGTTGATAAAACTTATAGAACTGATTTTGTTATATTCCATCAAAATGGTAAATTTAAGTTGTTGATACATCGTTACAGACTATTATTTGATAATAAATCGTTTAATCATTAATGATCTTTTTAAACGAGACGTTTATGATTGAACTGTAAGGTAATTAAAAGTGAAATAAGATTTACCAGTTGCAATTTGCACCTCTAATTTTATGTTATGCTAATGAAAATCACAATGACACGGGACTCTCAGAAAACACATATCATTTAAATTGTTTTATAACTTATGTTTTCTAATAATATATGAGGGTAAAACTCATTTTAGGTTTTATAATTATTATTAGTCTGGTTAGAATCTATTATAGAATATTTTCACATCATTTATAAATGTCTTTTATTTATAATTTTAACTTTTTCTTTAATTCGTTGTATTTAGGTTATCAATAATTTATATGGTTAATTACTTTTATATGTTGTAATACTCAATCAAATTAGAACCCCAAATGTCGACAATTTTAGGAGTTGTTTTGGAATATTAAAAAGCGGCATAACATGTTCGAGGATCGGTTTCAATATTCTAGGGTCGTAGCTTCCAATTTCAATATGCCTATATATAAAGAATAACGAAAAACCATAGATAAAATTATAAATTTCGACATATTTTAACCATATATTTTTTTTAATGCACAACACATGGGAATACACCTAATATATATATATATATATATATATATATATATATATATATATATATATATATATATATATATATATATATATATATATATATATATATATATATATATATATATATATAAGAAGCATTTTTATTCAAACCACCACTCAAAAATCTTCTTAATAATGATTTAGCCACTCAAAAGTTTTATAACTTACATATTGTATTTAATATAACACTAACAATTCTTGCTAGTCATTAACTGAATGTGTAATCGACGTTGGTCAACAATTGTAACCTTTATATGAATAAATGAAATGGAACTATTTATATATATGAGATTTGTGTGTATATATACGTTTATAACATAATTTAATAATTAGAGCTGAAATAGGCATAAAAATAAAAGATTATTTAAGAAAAATAATCTAAAAGAAAGTTGTAATAGTCGTGATGTTGATTCTGTACATATAAAGGATGCCCAAGTTTGACTTCGTATGAAGAACTTAGGTGAGTTCCGGTGGAGATCTGTAATAAGAACAGGAATCATGTTTTGAATCGATCTTCGAGAGGAGGTCCAGGGAGAGTGCTCCGACAGTCAAGTCAATATTTGAGAGAGAGAGAGAGAGAGAGATGAGTTTATAACATAAGGTATACAGAGTGAGGTATTCAAACCCTTTATCATTGGAGGTGCATAGCCTTTCATATTATGGTTTTGGGCACGCTTCTCGCTCGTGGAGACAGGAGTGTCAGACCCCAATCAGGACAAGGGACCTGATTGGTAGATCGTACCTTTGTCCCGTACCCAAGTTATCATTGGATTAGCCATGGTAGTGGTGTGTTCACCTTCACATCATTTACTAAGTATCTGTTTGTCGTTTATCGACTTTCCTGTATAAGTTCCAAACTGGATCCTGGGTATCGCGGGACAATCTATTCTAGGCCGGAATAAGCATTGTATGGTAAGGATGGCCGGCTAGTGAGGCCATGTGACAAGTGCCTTTGGAGCTTTTCGGCGTGCCCAAGAGACCTGTTATCAAGTATCCTTAGTCTTACCGTTGTGATGTAGGTATGATGAGTTACAATGGATGGAGCTAGCCTTTAATGTCATGTCCCATTATGTTTGGTTGCTGTCTTTTCGTCCACACATTGGCACAGTTTCCATCCATGAAGTTAGCTTCCATCATTAGGGTTTTTGAATTTCCTGCCCATTTATGCCTTTAGAGTTCCTGTCTCTTCGATTTTCCTTGTTATTTCACTTTGTCTTGTTTTTCTCTGTGTTTATTCTTCTTTCTATCATGGATTTTCTGATTAGCGTCGCACTAACCCCTGATCAATTTTCTGGTCTTCAAGAGAGATATGGATTTTAGCTGGAGGATGGTGTGACATTTTCCGCTGAACACACTAGCTTCATAATCCTCCCGAGGGTAAAGTTGATACATATGGGAAACACTTTGATGTTGGGTATCGTATTTTGATGTCTGATTTATTTTGAGAAATTATCTTTACACAAAAGGTTCACATCAGTTAGTTGTTACCCAATGGTATAAATAAAGTAGTTACTTTTGAGATGCTTTGTGGTGCCAACAGGATTAACCCTGACATCTTGGGTCTTTTGCCATTTTTTCCGGTTTACTGTTGTTTCCTCCGGTGAAAGCTATACTTTTGTTGTTCGTAAGCATAGTCATGTTCTAGTGACCAATCAGAAGAACTCGTCAAATGACTAGGCAAATCATTACTATTGGGTTAATGTTGATCGCGTAGGGTTCATGGAGCGACATTTGACTTCTATCTCTAACCAGTCCTTTACTCTTTATTCAGAAAAGAGTAGATGGCTAGGGTTCTTTGTTGTTTTCATGTTGTGGCTGATGACTTCCCTGGGTATATACTCAATGGGGCTGGTATGAGCACATCATGGAGGCTTTGCGAAAAAAGGTCGGCGTTTTATGCTATATTGAGAGGTTTGTGCTGATTCTTCTTCTTATCTTCCATTCTCTTCTCCCTATTCCCCTTCCCCTCATCTACATACACACACACACACACACACACACATATATATATATATATATATATATAGACACACACACACATACACACGTATATAAATATATTATTTGTATGTAGGTGTCGAGAAGAGGGTTGATTTCATGGACATGTTGGCTAAGAAGTGGGTAGGGAGTCTCCGGTATCGAGAGGACGATCTTATTGATAGGGTGTTACCTTTTTTCCCTATCTGTAATGAGGCTTTTATTGCCATTGTGTCTGCAATTCAATATGTTGAGTGGCATCGTGCCACTTTTGAGCCCTGATGGTCTACTTCAGTTGATCCTGTTAGTGTGAACATTGGTGTTGAGTCATCAAGGAACAAGTCTGTGGTGGAAGAGGTTGTGGAAGATAGCAAAGAAGGGGTCATTCCTTTGGTTTACACACATAAATCATCATGGAAAAGTGTGAATGATCAGAATGTTGAGCGTCTGGCGTTTGTATATGCGAAAACTAACTGGACAGAGCTCTTGTGTTGCTAGTGTTTAAAATGACATAGATGATATTCTTTACGATGGAAATGTAGAGAAAGCTACTTCTGAGGAGAATGTTGTTAGGTTTTTGCCAGATTTTGTGTTGGAATCTTCAGAATGTTTTGAAGTTTGGGGTGAACAAGGTAGTATGAAGGAAGGGCTTTGTCTTGTATGCTTTGGGCATCTTGAGTCTCCAGTTATTGGTGCTAGTGAAGTCGAGGTCCTAGTGATGTGAAGTTTTCTCCTTCCTGGTCTCTGAAGGACGATTCCCGTCTTTCCTTATTTGAATCTACAGTTGATTTTTCTAAGAATGTGTTTTTGCTTGTGACTCAATCTAAATGACTAATTACTCCCTCACTGATCTTGTTGGGTCTTTTCATTTTGCTTCAGCTCAAAGTGCCAGTTTTGTTTTGTTTTGTTTTGTTTTTGCTGAACGTGCTAACTATCTTAAGCAGTTGTGGGTTGCTGATTGTGATCTTTCTTGTATGATGAAAGAAATGCAAGTGCTTCATTATGAGAATGATGTGTTTCAAAAGAATTTTTCTAAGTTTGAGGGGGTTGTGTTGCAACTTAATGTTGTTTTTGCAAAGAAAAATGTGTTGTATGAGAGTGTGATGGATCTTGAACGTGATATACTTGCTTTGGGTGTTGCAATTGGCAAGTTGAAATAGAAAAATGAGGGCTTGAGTATCCAGTTGGAGATACTTTAGAGGAATTTGGTGGAGAAATATCGAGTTGTGGAAGAGAAGTCTATGTTCTTAGGGGGTTTGGAGCGTGATTTCCAATAGGCAATGAGGGAAGGGTTGGCTGGAGTGGTTGATCATATCTTGGAAAGTCCTAAGTTTGGTTATGGGGTAAACAAGTATCATGATGCATGTATAGTTGATGGAAAAGATTTGGGGATGTAGGATGCGGAGGAGTTTGTTGGTGGTGGTGGTAGGTTGGAAGATGTGTCGAGGAATGATGTTGACCATCTGGCGGCCGTTGATGAAGCGTTGGATGCTTTTGCGTTCTGTGCTTGATTTAGAGGGGTTGGATGCCGATAATCTGAAGTAGATGGTACATGCTCGTGGTGGTGTCGGACCCTCTTAGTTTTATTATCTTTGTTATACTTTTATTTTTGGTTATGACAATGGGTTGTAGTCTTGTTTAGGTATCTTCACATGTTCTTGCTTGTTATTTTAGAATTGTTGCTTGGTTTATCGATTTTATTGTTGAATTATATGACTCCTTATTGATTTTAGTTTTTTCGTATGTTTTAGATGGCTCTTTGTTTGATAAATTGATAAGACGAGCTATTGATTGTGTGGAACAATAGGTCTTGGAGCATACCTTTGGGGGTTCTTATGCTAGGTGAGTTGATGATTTTCTTTTCCTATCCTAAAATGGGTCTGAATCATGTTTTTGTAACCGTTTGTCAGTTCGGAACAGTGAGTCCATGCATTTGGTCTCAAGACTCAAGACAGGTGAAAGCCAGGGGATTTAGAACCGTTTTTCATTTTAGAAAGTAGGTCGAGGCATTTAGCCTCATGACTCTAGGCAGGTCAAAGCTAGGGGCTTTGGAACTGTTTTCTATTCTAGAAAGTAGGTTGAGGCATTTAGCCTCAAGACTCAAGGGAGGTCAAAGTCAGGGGATTTGGAACTGCTTATTGTTTTAGAAAGTAAGTCGATGCGTTTGGCCTCAATACTAATCGCATGTCAAAGCTAATCGATTTTGGAACCATTTTCCATTTTAGAAAGTAGGTCGAGGTATTTGGCTTCTAGAATCAAGGCAGATTAAATCCGGTCTTTAGAACTGTTTGCAATTTTAGAAACTAGGTCAAGGTATTTGGCCTCCAACTACAATACAAGTCAAAGCTAAGGCTATGGGGGTGGGGTGGGTAATGCCCTCATGTTTTCTATTTTCTCAGGGTGTTGATTTTACTACATGCTCTTCAGTAGTGAAAACATCTCAAGTTTTAGATGTTCCAAGTTCTAGGGATGGGCCTTCCTTTCATTATCTCCAAGAAGTACGAACCCTTTCTGTGTGCTTATGTAACTTTGTAGGGACTGATATTGTCATATTTATACACATATTTAAGCATTATTTTAATACATTTAATCTATATTTTGGTAAACTGCAAAGATATTTGGTACTTATTAAGTTAAATTGTATTTTGCAGCAAATCGAACATTCTTGAAGAAAAAGGACTAAAACCGACAAAATTTGGATACTTAGATGACTGGAGCTGAAGCTTGGGGCTTAAAGGAGCAAACTTTGAGTTATATACATTTCCCACGACATTGAGTTAAGATTCCCACAACATGGAAATTAGAAGAATTTCGATTCCTCATGAAAATAGAGTTCACGATGTGACATATTGTCCTTCACACCATGAAAGCGTGTCCCAGAAGATTCCAACACGGAGAAGCTCAGTTTCCTTGGTGAATAAGGGATAGATAATGAGCTCATGTCATGATACCCTTATGGTCACGACGTGAAGAGCAAATTTTAGTAATATATATATATATATATATATATATATATATATATATATATATATATATATATATATAACCCTATGTGCTCACCAAATTTCCAAAACCCGACCCTCCTAGTTTCTCTATATCACATGTAATGGTTTGAATATACATTTTGTTGAGTGATTCAAGGAGTTTTAGGCCATTAGTAGAATTACCGTAAGGTGTGTAAAACATGTGTTTATGTTTTGTAGCACTTATGAGATCCCAAGTTTTTAATAAATCAAAGAAAAATATTTTTTTTGGAAAATACTTTTCATGGGAAAAATATGCATCTACAAATATCACTCCGATTTAAAATAAGCATTTAGAGAAAGTTTTAAAAAGACCGTAAATTTAGGGATGTAATAGAAGCTCTACCCAAATTTCCAGTCACCCACTTTAACAAGTGGGTGCATAGTTACTTTCATCTTACACATAGATATAAATTATCTAGATGATTAAATGTTATGTGTGCCTATTGTTTGTATTCCCTGATATATGTCTTAGATAAATTGTATGATTTTTACTTGATTTAATTGTATATGTATTTTCATATATAAAATATAATGCGTAGTTATGGGTGATGAAAAGATGAGATGATGATGAGAGGCCATTACTATTGATGATCCAGTCATCTAGCAGAGTGTAGATCATGATCACAAACTATTCTAGATAGTCCGGTGGAAATGTTGATAGGCTTGCAAGTGTTAATGAACTATTTTTTCATTTGATGCACTCTATCCATCATCGTTTCCTTATTGACATATATTTTTAAAGCAATCCCCGAAGCAGTATTGTGTACTCGTTGCTTATTATGATCATTAGGATAGATCCCTTAAGATCAATATTTTAGATTCAGATTGTGATAAAAACAAGAATCGGTAATCGATTGAATTATTTTATGGGAAATATACAACTAAAGAACTTAATTATTGTTGGTTGAAAACTCTATATGCTCACCAGGCTCTCAATCTTGACCCACTTAGTTTCTTTGTATCACATGTAGCGGTATGAAGGCACAAGGATGATGAGTGATTTGATGATATATTAGGTCACTAGGTATAAAACCCATGTATTACACAGGTTGATTAAAAAAATAAAATACTAAAATGTAATTAATAACTATTTTAAAAATAAAATTTTGAAATAAGGAATGAAGAAACATATTAATTGCGATTTATTATAATAATTGTTACATTTGATATACATATATATATATATAATATATATATATATATATATATATATATATATATATATATATATATATATATATAAGATTATGTGGCCTTTTAATTTTAAAAATTGAAAAAAAAAACCATAAATTGACATGTGGATATTATTTATTTAAAAAATATCACAAAATGATAAGTGTCAAAACTCATTAGCGACTGATATGTGGCAAAAAAAGATTCATTTATTAGAGATATTAGTATAATAAATTGTTGTGAGACATGTCCTTGCTTATGTTGCACGTATCGAATGTTGATACCCCAAGGTTTTATATATTAATGAAACATGTTTTTTTTGGAAATATTTCAATACTATGTTTTGGGAACAAATTCTACAATTTAATGAATCCTTTGAATTTAAATAATCAGAAAGAAAATTTTTAAATTGACCATGAAAATGAGGATGTCACATTTAGTAAGTAATTAATGGAAATTTTACTTTTAAAAAGACCACTCTTGATTTGATACATATACAAAATTCACAAATAAAAAGAAGCTTTAATGGTTTTTTTTTGCTGGTTTGAGATTTTTTTGTACAACTTTTGAGTCAAGTTATTATATTAGAACTTTCAATTTGTAAGTTTGTAATACACTAATTCTTTTTTATATGTCGTGTTTGAATATTTTGTGTGATCTTGGAGTAAAGAAGGAGCCGTGGAGAAAAAGGAATGAGAAGCCCAAGCCTTAGATATGAGCATATTTGAGTTGGAAGCTTCATATGGAGGTATAAAGCTTCAAACTTTCTCACTCTTTTGTTTTGAGCATCATATTAAAGTATTGAGGGTTTTGTCCCAAAAGGTGGAGACTTTATGAGTTATTAAGCTCCAGAGACCTTGATCAACACCCTTTAAGTGTATTTAGTAGATTAATGTCATAAAAATCCAATCTTGGATGTTAGAATCGAGTCATGCAAGAGATATGAGCTTTTCTGAGAAAAGAGGATGAGTGTTTTGAGCATTTTTGACCAAATCAGCCATTCAAAGGCATAAAGTCTTTGACTTTATGGAGTAAGAGATATTAGGGAGTCCATATCTGAGAAATGAGCTAAGGTCTTAACGAGTTAAGACCAAGGGAATGGACTAAAACAAAATTGAGCGTACGCCCAACGTAAGAGCTAGTACGCCCCGCATACTGGGTTGGTGTCCCCGATCAGTTCCATGCATGTGTGAGTACGTTGAGCGTACCAAGGGAGGTACGCCCCGCGTAACCTCACTGTCGACTTTTGGGCTAGGTCTCATTTTGGGCCTTGAGTGTTGGGCTTGGAGTTTGGGCTTGTTGCAGCAGAGTATTGGACCAGATGAATATATATATATATATATATATATATATATATATATATATATATACATTCGTGCTTGGGCCCCTGGGTTGGGCTTGCCATTTAGTTTTGAGAGTGGGCCACAGGTGAGCCCATTTATTATTAGGCCTTGGTGGGCCTAATGGGTTTTAGGCTAATATTGGGCTGGTTAGTGGTCTTCCTTTAGACCTAATGAGTGAGAGTCTGGACTTCGTTCCTAATTGGGTTAATTGTGATTTTGGCTCAGAGATTAGAGGTCGGTGCGTAGCAATAACGTTTATAAGGGTTGTTCATCATCTGAGGTGAGTCTTCTCACTATACTTTACCTAAAGTGGTAATTATGTGTGACTAGAGGGTCTTGTGTGCTTGCTTGAGTTATGCATTTTCTGTGTGATATGTACTGTGTGCTACATTATGAGATACTTAGACTGGACCGGAGGGTTCGACGAACTATCAGATCGGAGGGTCCTCACTTAGACCGGACCGAAGGGTCCAACGAGCAGTGAGATCGAAGGGTGCCCTCACTTTGACCGGACCAAAGGGTCCAACGAGCTGTGGGACTAGAGAGTCCCACTGAGACACATTGACCGGAGGGTCTTACATAGTTATAGCCTTGAGTGGCTAATTATATGTTCGTGGTATTTCGGGGAACTCACTAAGCTTCGTTCTTACCGTGTTATGTGTTATGTGTTTCATGTTTTTCTCAGGATCTCGGGAATGCACCTGCTTGATTGTACACACCAGAGAAGGAGTATTGTTTTGAGGATCCTAGATCATTATTAAATAATTATGGGGTTGAGTTTTGTAAATTAAATAAATGGGATTTTTTTGAAATGTATTACGAGAACTTTGTGATTTTAAATGAAAATTTTGTGTGAAAATTTACATCGTTACTAGTTGGTATTAGAGCCTTGGTTTGAGGGATCTGGATGCACCTCCGGGTGTGTTTGGACTCAAACTGAGGATTTGAGAAAAAATTTCAAAATAAAAT